AATAACAAGTGTAATATCCACTAAAGCAAAGCTTAAGTATATAACACCAACAGTCATTTCCCAAGTGTGATTGTTTTCCAAAGCTTCAAGCTCTTTGTCCATGGCAGCTACCCAAGCAGGATGCCTTTTTGCTTCACCATAGTGAGCTGGTTCTTTATCTATCAAGATATTTGACAGAAAGGCTGAATATGGAAACCTTGCATCTGAAGTATTGGTTACTGTCCCACAAACATATTCCTCATGCCATATAGGTGGCTTTCTAGTTCTGTGATTTTTTTCTCAAGTCCTGATCAATTTTCTCAGGCAAATGTTGGTCTACATTACTTTGTGGTTGTACATCTGCATCATTGTGTAAGTCAGGTACACTGAGTGGTAAGGTAGTTGGTGCTGGTGTGTTTTGGTTCTGAAAAGGGTATGTGTCTTCAATAAACACAACATCCCTGCTGGTAACAAGCTTATCATCTTCCATATCATATAACTGGTAACCCTTTTTCCCTGCAGCATAACCCAAGAATAAGCACTTGCTGCTTCTTGCATCCAATTTGGATCTATGAGGATGGATATTAGCTACGTAGGCAAGACACCCAAATGGCTTCATTCTCTTGTAGTCAGTCACATCTCCACGTAATATCTCATAAGGTGTTTTCCATTCCAATAATTGGGAAGGCACCCTATTGATGATGTATGCTGCTGTGAGGATTGAAAAGGGCCAGAACTTAAGAGGGAGATTGGCTTGAAACAATAGTGCTCTCCCAACTTCGAGTAGGTGTCTGTGTTTTCTCTCCACTATATCATTCTGTTGAGGGAAATATGCACAACTAGTCTCATGCACTATTCCATTAGAAGTAAGAAAGGCCTGTAGTTCTCCTTCAATAAATTCCCTCCCACTATCAGTTCTTATTCTTCTTACTTCAGATTGAAACTGTGTTTTGATTATGAGAATAAAGTCTTTGATCAATTTTGCAACTTGTGATTTATGCAGCATGAGATACACCCAGGTTCCTTGACTGCAATCATCCACTATGGTTAAAAAGAACGGAGTATTTGTTAATGAATTCTCTTTACATGGTCCCCATATGTCTATAAGGATGAGCTCAAAAACCCCTTTAGTTTGGATGTTGCTTCTTGGAAATGACAATCTATGTTGTTTGGACTTGAAACAAGTGTCACATGAGTGCAGCATTTTTTCTGTTTTATCAGTGCACTGTGACTTTAAGAAGTCAAGATGCTTTAGGGTTGTATGAGAAGCATGTCCTAAACACTTGTGCCACAATTCAACTGAGTGGCTGTGGCACATTGTTCCCTTGCTTTCAGTCTTACTCTTATCAAACACATATAAGTTCCCCATGAGCTTTCCATACCCATATTTCCTTTTAGTGTCTTTATTTTCAAGATAACAATTTGTCCCATTGAAGATTCATCTCATTTTATTCCCAATGCACATTTGCATAAAAGACATCAGATTATATTTGAAGGCAGGTACCAACAATACCTCCTTTAGTATCACATTATCATGAAGCTTCACTTCTCATTTATAATACACTTTCTTTAGGCTGCCATCAGGAAGACAAACCACTACTGGTGCTTTGAGGATTTGCAGATTTCTCATTTCATTTTTGTCCTTGCATATGTGCTTACTAGCTCATGTATCAATTATTCAATCCTTTTCTTTATCCATACTTAGTGCTGACAAGGCATAATGAATGTTATCTTCTCCCTCTCTATCAGCAAAACTCACAAACTGTGCATAATCCATATTCCTTTACATTTTTTCCTTTCCATTTATGTATTTAGTGAGCTCATTTAACTGAAGCATGACTGAATTCAAGTCAAGTCATCTTCCTTCATCTCTTAGGCCTCCATTTTGCTTGTTCTTGTTAACATACCCTTGCACTTCAGCAGCATTTACATATGATTTGTCTTGTTGCCCTTTAAATTCTTTATACCAATCTGGTACCCCATGTATTCTAAAACAGGTAGTTGTGTTATGACTTGCCATTCCACACTTCTCACAAACTAACTTTGCTTTCTCTTTTTTGCTCATTCTTTGGTAACCTCCTCTGCCTCTTCCTCCTGATTGCCATCCTCTACCTCCATTGTTTCCACCTCTGCCTAAACCACAGGAACCCTTGCCATATGTCTCTGATTTAGCTACCATAACAACATTATCTAGCTTTCCTCCATATTCATTTTGGATTGTTATTTGCCTTTCAGTTGTAAGGAGCACGGAGTATGCTTTGTTCACTGAGGGTAGAGGATCAATCAACATGATCTGATTTTTGACATTATCATAAACATCGTTGAGTCCCATAAGAAATTGAATTAACTTCGTCTTAGCATACTGCTTTGCAATTAACTTCCCTTTTTCACTACATATTTGCAGTGGAACTACACATGCATATTCATTCCATAATTTCTTGAGCTTATTGAAATATTCCATAACAGTGCTATTTCCTTGAGTTAGGGTTGAGATTTCTCTCTGAATTTTGTACCTCATCGGGCCGTTGTTTTCCCCAAATCTCTGGCATATGTCCTCCCATAGCTCCTTGGTCGTGTCTGCATATAGGAATGATTCTCCTATTTTCTTTGACAAAGAATTGAGGATCCACGATAGCACCATGCAATCCACCTTCTTCCAGTTAGCATATCCTTCATCGTTCTCATCGGGTTGAGGAATATCGCCATTCACAAATCCATATTTGGTTTTTGCTCGGAGCGCAATGATCATCGATCTCTTCCAAGATAGAAAGTTATTGCCAGCTAATTGATGAATTACGAGCATTATACCAGGATTGTCGGAGCCATGGAGGTTGAGTGGATTCTGCGTCGTGTCCGCCATTGTTGTACTGAGTGATGAGCTTCAATATGTGTTGCGTTGCAGGTATGATTGATGAGAATCGCTTCGCTTTGCTGTGATTGAGCTATGTTGAGCTCAGATCTATTCCGCCATGATCGCCCGCTTTGGATACCATGTTGAAATCGAAGAGAAGAACAAAATATCTCAAACTGAATTGTATGTTTTGTAAAAATGTTTCCGTACATGCAAAATCAGAGGTCACACTTATTTATATACATTCCCATGCATTTAAGCACTAAACAGCGTCGCATAGGACAGCTTAGACTAAAACCAAAAGAACAGAAAAACGACATCGTTTGGCTAGTGAAATCGTAAGATTAAAAACGCATTTGACATAGCAGCTTTTCTTATTATTTTCCACGTCTTCTGTCTTCTTCTGTGCATGAACATTTATTCTTGAACTTGAGTCCCTATTCCAACAATTAGGATCTACAATTTTATCGAACTATGTGAATTTTTTTATTGCAATAAATTAGCAATGGATTTAATGTAAAAAAATTTTCTTTAAAATAAACCGCGAATGTAAAAAATTGATTGGTGGGATTAAAATTGATAAAAACACAAATTTGTAAGATAAATCTTATTTTAAAATCCCAATTTATTTTCAAAATAAAAAAATTAAAGATTGTTAAAATGATATGGAACATGAACAAAAATTATTTAACATTTTGAAAGATTCACCCGATTTATATAACAATATATATATAAAAAAAAAAAAAAGAAATATCTGATTTATACCAACTCTCTTTAAAAAAAAAAGGAAATGTCATATTTCTATCAAATCGATTACAAAAAAAAAATCAAATATACTACTAAATAAATTACAATTGAAATGTAGGCGGGATTATGAAAAAAAATTCAAAAAACTTTACCGAATAAAGTAGAAAACGAAAGAAAAAGGGGAATATGAAGTGGGAAAATGAAATAATTTTTTTCGAGTTTTTTGAATAATTTTTTTAACGGTATTATATAGTAATAGATTATTATTATTATTATTATTATTATTATTATTATTATTATTATTATTATTATTAAATAAAATCGATTTCCTTGTAAGTTTTCTTTTCTCCCCTTACAAATTAATATCAGAGATTTCTACGAAGCAAGAATATTGTACATTATTATTTCCGTAACATTCTATGGTCATTCTATGTGAGAATAGTTTGCAATAAATTACCCACGCATGTTTGCCCAAGCCCAAATTGAGAGTCCCGGCAATTTAATTTTCTTTGCCCAAGTCCACCGATAAAAATTGAGCCCAACTTAAATAAAAGTTCTATCCAGTCGATTCGGTCCCAACAACCGATTCTTCATCCTTGTTTATTAATTTGTCGTTTCTCACCGACGCTACATCACCAATGAGCATAATAACTGCAAGATAAATTACGTGAGAAAACTTAAATAAAACAATCAACTCAAATACGCAAATGTGTAAATTAAATTGCAAAATAACACATGATTTTCTCACATATCAGGCATTGACGAGAATGATTGGGATTTGAATTACGCATGTGGGAAGCACGTGAACCAAACAGTTACTTGGTCCAAGGTGGTCTAGGCGGTCTTTCCATTCGAGACGGTGCAGTCGAGTGGGATCAAAGGAGATCAAGGCACGTGGCTAGACGATTTTTAGAGACACATGGCCAAGACAGTTATTGATCCGCCCAGGAGTTCAAACAAGATAGGCACGGGCAGTTGGCACCCGCCCGCTACTAGGGCTGAGTTGGTATCAATGAGATGTGAGTGCGTGCCGTAGAGCAGTTGTGAAACACTGTCGGACGGTTACTCAACAGCTAGGGTTAAGAGATGAGTTGCCAAGGTCCTTAAATAGGCGAGGCATGTGTTGGCATAGGGGAAGTATTTGTAGCGAGTGTAAGGCCAATGTCTATAAGGCCGTTACTAAGGTTGGCGAGCGGTAGATAGGAGCGTAAGGCCGGGGATGGCCTCCCTTGATACGTAAGTAAGGCCAATGTACTAGAGTGTGTCTACGTGCAGAAGATAGCTTGAGTGGGGTGTTGTATCGTGTGTGTGCGAGCCATGACATTTTCACTGTGCAAATGAGTTATTATAGTTGATGGTTTGGAGCGAGCCTGTAAATGTATTGGTGTCACTCGTTATTTATTTATAGCATCCGCTTGGGTATTCGAGTGACGCTTGCACCGCCATCGAACTATACTTGTATGAGCGAAGGAATGTTTTGCGGGTTCCGTTTAAGGATGACTGGTCGAGGAGATCAGATCGCATGGGGCAATAATTGGGTGAAAATTTAGGCCTGAAAGCTGGCCGTGTGACACCAAGCACAATGGGTTGCTAGGTTCAAAACAAGGTGACTTTTTAGCAAAATGCCATTAACCAAACAAACTATTTTTGACTTATTTTTAGTGAGTCATTAATTGGAGTAGTGATCTTTGGTTGTCTACAGTAGTGTGGAATTTCCTTATGTGAAAGTTTATCCTTACGCAGATAGAGCTCATGAAGTGTTGACTTGTAGTTGTGCCAAATTCGGCCAAGTTGACTTGTAATTGTCTACAAATTGTGCCAAAGTTAGCTTTTATTGGGCGGACTTAACCGTTAGACCAACACATAAATTTTATCGAGCTATCGGATGGCTCCGTCATAAAATCATCCATAACTTTATGTACTAACACACGTTAAATGTCCATCAGGTAACATGTCAATACATCATTTGTGAATAACAATGGATGGCTCCATAAAAACCGAGCCATCTAATGACTCCATAGCAAAATCGTAGACCAACATATACTCTGACTGTAAATATGTACATTTTCTTTAGAAAATATCATACTTAAAAAGTATTATAAATAAAAGTATGTTATTTCTTTATATATAATTTCAAAATGTGTTAAGTCTAAGTGACAAACTCCCATGCTTCGGGGTCCTACTTGACAAAATTTAAAGTTTTTCTCAATTGGCTTGGATTAATTTTAATTTAATTTCTATTAAAAAATAATTAAGATTAAAATTATTCATAATTATACTGGATATTCATGACTTTTTTTTTTTATGAGCATTAATCTGCTTTAATACCATTTTCTATTTTGAACGTGGTTTATAAGACATGATTTTTTTTTCCTCAATTTTTCTTTTTTTCCCAACTTTTTTTTTTTAATTACAGTACACTTTGTTAAGTTAAATTGTAAATATATATTAAAAGTTAACTTCTATATCTATTATCATTTTTCATTTATAATATATAAATTAATCATTTCTTTATTGGCTTCAATTTACATCCATATTGAAATATAAAATAAAAATATAATTATATTTATGTTTACAAATGAAAATAAATAATCTATACATTATAATTATAAAAAATAAAAAGTATATGTCAATTACATAAATTTAATTACAAAATAGTTGTATGATATAAGTCAAAAAAATATTTTAATATAAGATGAGTAAGTCATATATATGACATGTGTCATTTTAAGTAGAAATAATCATATTTTTCAAAAAAAATTTAAAATTTATAATAGTTCTTTTTTTATAACTTTTTTAAAACAAGGTAAAAAATTTCTTATTAAGGTCCGCGTAATACACGGGTATTATACTAATTTAATATTATACACAGGTATTGTATTAATTTAATATCATAGATGTATGCATGTTTGTTTACATGTGATATAACAACATATCTGATTCTGTGTAATGATAATAAATTGTTTCTTGCCAAACTAGTTAGTGGGAAATTTAGGGATTTGAACAAAACAAAAAAGGATGAAGGGTACACGAATTGACTGGAATTAATTAACTGTGACTGTTAAGCATAGTTTTTAAACCCGGCCAAGAATCGACCCAGACAGGTCTCCAGATCACTGGGTCACCAGTTCAACCACCGGGTTATTGGGTCAATTGTTGAATCGTATAATTAATTTTAAAATTTTTGAAATTATATATAGTGTTTTGTCATATAAATATACATAAAGTAATACAATCAAATGTTTTGTATATAAATAATGTTTTACATTAAAGTGTTATTTATGTATTTAATAATAAATATTTATCATATAAATATTTATACATAGTTTTATTTTTTCAAAACAAAACATATTTAAAAAAAAATAATAAAAAAATATAGGGACTAGGTCAACTGGGTTGACCAGTCGGGTCAACGTCCCGGGTCGACCGGGTGAAGGCCGAGTTTGTCGGGTCCTTTGTTGCCCGGTCCAATTAGCCCATTCGGACCGGTTCTAGCTCCAGGTCATTCGGGTTCCGAGTCGACCCGTTGCTTCGGTCTGGTACGGTTTGAAAAACACTGCTCTTAAGTCTTAATAATGCTAGATCATTCTTAATTTGAGGCAAACACACACAAAACTTACAAGTTTTAATATTCAGGTCTTTGTATAAAGAATGATTTTACAAATTTTCCACTTTAAAAGAAGATGGAAAAAAGGGACTTCAGCAAAATTTAAACAATAAAATAAATAAATCCTCCCTATATATAATTCCCGAATGCGGCTGAGCCTACGTGGCTGCTTCTGGTGCTTCAGAATCCTACTTGGCAAAGAATCATGCTTCGTAATTAGGTTTGGACAAATAATATTGATATATTAATAATTAAAATCTAGGTTCGGACATTCCATAAATATTATTGAGCTAACTTAGGTATTTTAATATCACTTGCACTAATATAACCCTTTAATTCCTTGTGATTTTACATAGTGAGACACTAAGTGACTAATATATCCCCGACTTTTGATTTTTTCCTTCAATTACCTATTGAATTGTAAATGTATTTTAAAAGTTGATAATTTTTGTATTTCTTATCGGTTTTACATATATAATATATCAAATTAATCATCTTTTTATGATCTTCGATTTGATATCCATATTGTATATATTGAAATAAATAAATAATATTTATATTTATAATAATACAAGATATTTATATTTATTAAAATTCATTAAAAAAATAAAATTATTTCTCAATTGATATATTTATGTTTAGTTATATGTTGTAA